ACTGTGTCAAAGGCTTTACTGAAGTCAAGCACTTGACTGATTCAATGTTCAGTTATTGAAGTTCTTAATGTTAATTTATTGCAAAATAGTTTGAGGGATCCAAATGGCTTCAAGCTAAGTTTCTAGAATAAACTAAATATATGTATACATAGAAATAAAGGCATCACTAAAGGTACATCTATAAACCCAGATCTAAACTACCTATCGGCCCACAGAAGAGCTGTACTTTATTTCAGAGTCAAATATTGGTTGTTTTTACTTTTGACAGGACAGATCCTTGCAAAATGCCATTATTTCTCCAAATTTATGTTAATCTGCTTGTATGTCAGCTTTGATACAACTTCAATGCTGAGAAAAGCTGATGCAAAAGTAAGTCTCCAAAAATATCTGATCTGGAAAGTACTTAAAAACATTGAGACAAGCCAGGTCACAACCTAAATGACAGATTGCTTCATTGCAGCTAGAAAGGAGGAACTGTCTGATGAAATATGCCCTGGACATAGAGAAATGTCAAATTAGTTTCCTGCTTAGTTGTTAGAGCCAGAGGACATGCTGCCTGACAGTGACTGTCCCTGAACTGCAGGTGTAGAAGCTCTGAGGGAATGTGCTAAGAACCAAGTTCCTTCACCTATGCCTTGGCAGAGCTACCCCTTGCAGGCCTGCTCTCCCCTGGCAGTCACCAGCTCTTTGCTGGGAAAGGTGATTGTTCAGTCCTCCCAGGAAAATCTTAAAGGCTGCAATAGTGTTATGGTTGCTTCCTCCTCCTGGAAAAAAAGTTACGACATTGAGCTTTTGGTTCTCATTTAACGTAATGATCAAAAATTTTAAACCATTTAATGTCTTCAAAGTTACTTATACAAACCCCAGGCTTATTCAGCATTAAAATTCCCCTTGATTTACATAAAGGCAGGATTTCATTGCTAATTCTTTTACTCCTCCTTTTTCTTTTCTTCATGAAGGTGCTATGAAGTTCCAGGATCTAAGAGTACAAAAACATACATAATATGCACCTTCAACCAACTATCCACTTTATCTTGTAGAGCAGAGAGTCATTGTTTTAGCATATCATGAATTAATTAAATCTCATTTATGACATGGTGAACTTTAATGAAACAATGTCATCTGCATTTATATGAATGTAAAAAAATTGTTTATTTAAACTGGTCAAATGTCATGTGTATGCATCTGTGATTCTGTTCTGTTATCTTCTTCAGCTGAGTTCACGAGGCTTTCTTTTAAGGTTTGGTTTTAATTACTGTGCATAACTCTAATAGCATAGTAGGAGGCAATAAAAAGTGAATGTGTTTCTATTTTCAAAAAGTGCATATTTAAATGTTAAAATCACATTTTATTATTTAAATCTACTATAGTATGTTCTCAAAAAAACCGTATTGTGTTACACTTATTCCTTCAGATTTCTGGTTTGGAAGGCTTTCACATAAATTATTCAATGCTAATTAGTTCAACTTAGACATCAGATAACTAGTGGGTTTTTGCAATATAAGCTGTGTATTTTTAGACAGCATAAGAAAGTAGAAATATAACAAAATATATTTAAATGGATTAGCATGAAAATGGATTTTGTATATGCTAAAATTCAATGGGCATGTCATGATACTGATTAATTAAGCACATATTGTTTCAGTTTATCTTCTAGAATGCAGGGAAGGAAATGGGGTGGATTACAGAGGAACAGAAGCCAAAACTCAGAAAGGTGTGGCATGCCAGAGGTGGGCTGATAATTCCCCCCATAAACCAAAGTAAGGACTTTTTGTATATGTTTATATGTTTTTCTGAAATTTTGCTAAGAAGTTTATATGTGTTAAGTAGTCTTATAAGCAAGATGTTTGGTCTTCAAAGTCTTATAAAATATTTTTCTACACTTATCTAGAGTAAGATTTTTTCCAGTCTGAGTTGTAACTCAGAGACTTGCAATTAGGGCTGCACGATCAATGGGGAAATTGTCAGTCTTGGCAGTTGCATTTAAATTTTGTCATCCTTACATGAGCAAAATATTCAATGGTATGTTCTGCTGAAATAAGAACTTTCCATTAGTCTCACCAAGACCAAGAACATTCTTGACTAAATGTATAACTTGTGACAGATAAGATGGAGGTACATAATTTTATCAGTGAACCCACAGACAATTAACAGGACAGTATTTCTTCTATTTAATGAAAAACACCCAACTGTGTTTATTTAGTAACCTCCTACTGAGATGGCATAGCATTTGGGCTACAGAGAACAAGCTCATTTCAGCAAATATCTTCTCACTGCATCTCCCAGGGAACATGTCCCAGAGGAGACAACATGCTAAAAAGTACCTTGACTGAGCAAGAATTTCTGGAAACTGAACTGCTGGGGTAAACAGAAGTATTAAAGACTTGACTGGCTTAGAAGCACCATATTTCCTGAAGTCTATAGCTATGGCACTTCCAACTCACCAGCAATGGCACAGAGTAGCAATTAGGAGACTTCTAATGAATGACACCTACCAAATGGTCCTCAGATAAAGATTTCATTTTTATAGTGCTCAGCTGAACAATTTGGACATTTTCCCTATTCTCTAATCCCATTTATGTTCTGTTCCAGTTACACACCTGAAAAATATCCCAATGCAGGACTGGAGGAAAACTACTGCAGAAATCCTGATAATGATGTAAAAGGACCCTGGTGTTACACAACAGATCCTGCTACCAGATTTGATTACTGTAACATCCCAGAGTGTGAAGGTCAGGATACATATACCAATTTCTCTCCCTTTTTGGAAGGTGTGTTCAAGAATGTGAAGTTATTTAGATACATTTGGTTTTAATTGAGTATTGCCATAATCCTAGAACTGAACCAAACAACAGTTGCTAGTGCAAAAGTCAATAAAACATGACAGCAGCAAGGCACAGATTTTCAATTATAGCTTAGTAGTTTTAATTTAGCTCTCTTAAAAACTATAGCCTATAGTTGGAGTTTTTTTAATGGAATACTGTAAATGTAATCAACTAGTTGACGTCATCTTACCAAGAAAAATAAGCTTTTGCTTTGCCAGAAAAAGACTGTTCTTCAGTCTTTTGCTCTGATCAAGCTCTTGAGCTTCATGTGAGATGAATATGAGTTCCTCAGGGACTTTATGTCTCTCTTGTCCTCATTCTGCCTTGCTCCTACAGTTGAGTGCATGCACTGCAGTGGAGAAAACTACCACGGAGTAGTTGCGACAACGGTGTCTGGGCTTGAGTGCCAGCGCTGGGACTCCCAGGAGCCTCACTCTCATGGATACCTCCCAGAAAAGTGAGTCGGACTCTATGATTGGTTGTTTATCAACAAGGGTGGCCTGAAGACCACCCTGCCCCAGAGAGGATAATTGTTACAGCCATTAGTGACATTATTTAGAAATTCTTTTTCCTGTTCAGTTTTCCAGAGAAGGATCTGAAGGTGAATTATTGCCGTAATCCTGATGGTGAACCTCAGCCCTGGTGTTTCACTACCAGCCCAACTAAACGCTGGGAATATTGTGACATTCCTCGTTGCAGTGAGTCTGACTTCTAGACACAAAGTCATCTAGACAGCTTCCATTTGGGATGGTGCAAGGAACTAGAACAAATAGAAGAGGCCCCAAAGAAAAAAGAAAGAATAAGACTGCTGACTTTTATCTCAAAGAAAAAAAGATAACCTTGAAATGAACCTCTGACAGCTCTTTTGAGGCTAGTCATTTCTGTCATAGGCATTTCTAATGTCTTTGCCTGGAGCACATCTCCTTTTCTTCAAGTTTTTTCCATGACCAGGCATTTCAGTGATTCTGATGTTTCTTCTGGTGACCCTCTTCTGAAGTCAAACATTTTCACTCTTCCTGCAAAGATTGTTGCCTTTATTTTGCTCTTCCAATTAAATTCTCCACCTTTTCAATTTCCTTTCCTCCCAGATGTCTGTCCTTGTCATGATACCTTTCCTTGGGGATTCTCACAAGACTTCATCCTTGCTGTCTGTAACTCGCACAAGTTAGAGTATATCTCTTTTATATCTGCACTTACACCTGTTTCTATCACTGATGGGCCCACATTCACCCCAGGTTTCTTTACAGTATTGCCACATTCTTACTTTCCAGCTTTGTTCTGAAGAGGCTGCTAGCACTTGGTTGTGTTGTCTCCTGGCTGCTGTAAAGGGGCAGATGCAAATGCCCTTCCAGTGGCCTGACTCCTTCTGAAGATGTTAAAATGGAAGAAATAAAAGAAAATATATTTTTAGATATTTTCTCCGCCTTTTGGTCTTTCTAAACATTTTGGTCTCTAAACCTTACCTGCAAAGAAAGCTAAAAAGCCCACTTCATTAAAAAGCTCAAAGTGGTTTTGTTTTGGTTTGGTTTTTTTTAATGCATTTAGAAGGCATAGTTAAATTTCAGTTCCTTTTTCTGCAATAGCAACACCCCCACCAGTTCCTGCACCAGGACGTCAGTGTCTATCCGGAAGAGGAGAAGACTATCGGGGCACAATATCTGTTACTGAATCGGGAAATACCTGTCAGCGCTGGAGTTCTCAATATCCTCACAGACATGCTCGCACTCCTGAAAACTATCCCTGCAAGTAAGTGAAACTTCTCCATTATTCGAAGTCCATGAGATGTACCAAGGCACATAATTACTTCATTTTTCTTCAACTGTTTTGCAACAGTCTTTGGTTGCATCAGCATTCATCACCTGCTGGATTCCATGTTTTCAATTTTTTTTTGCACATTTATCTTTATTCACTTCTTTGTTCTTGGATTCTAGTGTCTCCTCTTCTGACTTTCAAGGTCTACTTGATTGACTTTTTCACTCTTCAGTTCATCCTTTTACTGTATTGCTGCTCAGGTGAAGCAATGTGGATTAAGTTACAAATATGATATTTGCTTGGGACTGGATTCTTTCACCCTATGTTTCTGCTGTGCTGCTCTTGGCCTCAAAGTGCTACATGAAATACAGTTTCTTATATCATCCATAAATCTAGCAAGTGTCTGGTTTATCACACACAAAACACCAGTTCATTGCAATTATTCATCTAGTAAATGACATCAATAAATGACAGCAGAGTTACCCACCAGTAAATACAACACCAAACTAGGCAGCAAGATACATTCCTCTGTTGTTCATAACCTTTACTAGGTTTCCATGGGGGGATTTTCTTAGCCAGGTTTTCTTTTTCAGGAACCTAGAGGAAAACTACTGTAGAAATCCCGATGGTGAGAAGATGCCATGGTGTTACACCACCAACAGAACTGCCCGGTGGGAATATTGTACCATCCCCTCCTGTGATGGGACAGAGCCAGAGGTCCCTGGTAAGAACAACAGGAGACATCTAGAAGTGAAGGGTTGTCATGGTTTATTTTGAAAAATCTTGGATGACTCTGCTCAGTTGTATTAATTCTGTCACTCTCAGTGTTGCTATGTTTCAGTTGAAATCCTGAGGCTGGTGTGGAGCCCAGGCTGGTATGTTCAGTCTGGTAGATAAGTGCAGAAGGTTTTAAGTCAATTACTGACCCAGCTCGGGAAAAATTGCAGTTACAGATGTCTTTTCCTTTAGTCAAGTGGTGGTTCCCTCCACCTCTAATTTTTAAATGCTCCATGGAATAGTTAATTAGCTTTACATGCCAGCCCCTGAAAAACTGAATCCAGAGCAAAACCTAAGATAATTTAAGAGCACTGAACCAAAAAAATCAATCAAAAGAAAAGTCTCCTTACACAAGGTAGGCTTGTTCCACACACCCATCTGTGGCAAAGCCACAGACATTTCCCTACTCTGGAGAAGTTTTGATCCATATGTGAACTATTTGGATTATTAGCTGAAATAAATCCTCATGCATAACAGTAAAATTGATGTACAAGTGCTTTTAATCTGGCATATCATTAAATTTTTATAAGCAGTTTTTGAAATCTTCCTTTTGATCTACATTCTGAGAAGTATTCAGTTACAGCGAGGGTGCTGTGGCAGACAGTGAAATACTCTGGCTTGCTGTTTTCTCTTGGCTTTTTTGGTTATGCATAAATATCAAAGTATTAAGATGCAAGGGCCTGGTTTCTGTTATTCACTACAGCTGTTGATGTGCCTGAGCAGGCTCAAATTACTGAGGAGTGCTATCAAGGCAATGGTGTGACTTACCGTGGCACAGCTTCTTTCACTCTCACGGGAAAGAAATGTCAAGCCTGGAGCTCAATGTCACCGCATCGACACAATAAAACAGCAGACAAGTTCCCAAATGCGTATGTGTATTTCTCCTTTCTGTGTTTCATTGGACAATGACCATTCATGAACTCATTTTGATTTACATCATCTTTACACAAGAATTATTTTAAAGCTGAGAAGGGAGTGTATTTGTTAAAAATAATCGCATCCTTTTTTTCTTTCTCTAATGTGGAAACATCTATTAACCTCATCTTGAAACAAACCACAGTTGTCACTATTATGCTTTAGCCTAATTATCTATGTGTTTCTACATTGCCTCTAAAGGAGTTAAGAGCTATCATAAATTTTCCCTTATACTGAAATGAACTGTTTCTGTGCATAAGCTTATTCATGAGTTTAAGTCTTTGCTTCCTTGTCTGCAGTTCATGAGAGCTTGGGAAAGGGATGGATTATTTTCTTATTTCTAATATTTACTATTTATTTATTCCAAAATGCAAGAAACCTGTTTTTTCCTTAAACACTATTAATGTATTTGAAAAAGTAAAAATAATTCTATCTTTAATATGCATATGAGCATTTAATTATCTGGATTTGTAAATGGTATCCTGCTATAAGCGTTAAGCAGTGAATAAGTATTTTGCATCATTAAATATTCTGCATAGGTTTCTTAATTTCTTTATGCTGGAAAATGGATTTCTGCCACACACTGTACATGATAAATGATATATGCTAACTCTGTACCAGGCCTGCTTGCTAAAATATTCCTTCAAGTTCTCAGAGCAGTGGCATGGATGGGAATATAATATGCTTACATTTGCAGGGACCTGAGGCAGAATTATTGCAGAAACCCGGATGCTGATAGCCGCCCATGGTGCTACACCACTGATCCCAGTGTGAGATGGGAGTATTGCAACCTGAAGAGGTGTGATTCACAAATTACTTTACCAAAACCTCCACAGACAACACCAGAACCAAATCCTGGTGAGAATACTTTCCACTTTCCCCAGAAATGCTCATAACCAGCAAGCTGTTTTTTATGAAAATGTCATCAAGAATTTAATGAGGATGAAATACAGAAAACTCTAGATAATTACAGAATTTAATCTAATATTCTATGCACTCCATTTTTTTGAAGATTCTTGTATAATTTTATAGCACATTTCTGTATTTAATTATAGACTGATGTTGCACCTTTTATCTGCTGTATCTGGCAATATTGGAAGCACAAGGAAACAGATGTCTAGTAGTCTCCACTCTACTGTGGAACATCTACTAGCAATGACAGAAAATACAGATGTGATGGCATTTTGCTGGCAAGTGTTTCAAAAAAGTCTTCTCCTGTGCCATGCATTCCCATTTCCAGGGCTCCATTTCCCACCAGAGGAATGCTGGATTTTTAATTCAGTTTAGATACAACTTTTTTATGCCATAAATGTGTAGAGTTGCTGCAGTTTTCATTTTTTTGCTATTACATGTTCTAGTTAGAAGGCTAATAATTTTATCTGTACATGTATTACTGCTTTTTACCTACTGTAAAACGTGGCAGCGGACAAATACCAGTGTCCATAAGGAAAAGACTTTATGAGTGCGTGGTCTTTGTTGTCCTGGCTTCCAGAGTCAAAAGGTATCCAATGAATCTAAGCTTCTTTGTTTTATTACTTTCATTATCATGAAAAAAACATTTAAAATGCAAGGAAACTAAAATGGGATGGTTAGCCATCACTGTCACCACGTTGTCCTTCTTTCCTTGTATACATATTACATAGTAACAGTAGTAAGTCCTAGTAGTATTTCCTCAAATTTATTTCTGTTTCATCACCACCAAGTATGGACATGTCCCAGTAATAATTTCCTTTTCCTCTTTTTTCACAGATTGCATTAATGGTAATGGTAAAGATTATCGTGGTACAGTAGCAAAAACTGCAAGGAGCAGGACTTGTCAAGAGTGGAGTTCTCAGAGACCTCATAGCCACGACTATTTCACTCCCATGACTCATCCAGAAGCAGGCCTGGATAAAAATGTAAGCAGATGTCCATTAAATACTTACTGTTGTTGAGCTTTGCCTGTCTTCTTCATGCTCAGCAAGTATTACATGTCAGGTCTTTGTGAATTAACTTATTTTCCTCAGTTCAATGCAAGAACACGGTTGTGCTAATACTTGTTGACATGAGAAGTCTGTACTTCTGTGGGACACACAGAGGCCTCTTGACTCTGTTGAATGCTTCTGCAGCACAGCCATGGGGCTTCAGATGGGCATTTGCTACTCCTCATTGCTAAGGACTAAATGGAGTTGGTCTGTGGGCAGCACCTCTGTCTCCTCTGTCAGAAAGAGCACCTGGAGTCATAGGTTCCAGTAATAATAGCGATGGGTGAGATGGAGAGGGATCCAATGTTCAGTGCAAGTTCCTTGAGATATAGAGCTGATGGATTGCAGACCCCTATCCTCTACTAATTCCCTCTCCAGCCCTCCAACATCTGCCACAGCCCATCATACAAGGACACATCCATCTGACCGATCCTGTGAGTCATTCTCCATCTCTGACTTTCATCTCCCTAGTCCAAACACATACATTGCTCACTATTTCTCTAGACTTGTACCATCCCATATAGCATACTTGTCTGGTATGTCACAAGCTCTGTATGTGATATAAAGAGCTTGTTTGATGTTGCCGACTTGAATATTTTTCTTCAGGTAGATGATTTTAGAGCTTGCTTTAGTCAATTCTCTGATGGCATCACATACCCAGTATTGAATTCCAGCTCAGATTGAGGAAAATCCCTCTGAAAATTTGTCTGCCATAACTTTTTGGTTCTTACATTTGGCAGGGACTTTTAAGGAAGGGAAGAAAGTATTTTCTCCTTTTTCCTAAAACATGGGATATATTTCATGGGATATATCTGGTAGCGTGCAGTTATGCAAGGTATCTATGCTGAGCAGAGATCAGTCAATATGGTTAGTAAGACCTAGAGAGTGATTCAACTAATGAGGCATCCCACATCAGGGTGAACACTGCACCCCTGCTCCTGGGACTCATAGGCATCACCAAGTTGTGCAAGAGCAGCTTACACATTACCCACTTGTCCCAGGGTCATGCAACCAGAGTGAGTGTGAAAAGACCTCAGGGCTGACCCTACTGCTGCTACTAACTGCAGTGGAAGCAGGAGTAGAGTTTAGTGCTTTAGAAAACTCCATCCTAGGTCCAAGATTGCACAGTGAAGCTTACTGGCCAAAGACAGTTGAAGACAGTTAATTTTAATTATCTTTTTCTAAACTTAGAGAGCAAATAGAAAAATGAAACAAATTCTGACAGAAGGAATTGGAAATCACTTATCAGTAAGGAAGTAAAAAAGTATTTCCCAAATTTAATTTGATTTTATTTTGAAACATGCATTGGTAGGCTTTTTTTGTTAATGGCTGGTGTCTTTACTTCATTACAGTATTGCAGGAATCCTGATGGAGATGTGAATGGACCCTGGTGCTACACAACAGACCCAAGAAAAGCCTGGGAGTACTGTGACATTCCCAAGTGCCGTAATTATTCTTTTAAAGACTAGTGTCTCTATTTCATGTAACCTCTTATGTCAACTGGCGGACATTCAGTGATTAATCTGAAAGACTGATCTAAGACAGTGCAATAGCTTTAGATTGTACATTAATGTTGTGGAGAAGTGATGCTCAAAATCTGTGTCTGAAGTCTTAAGAATGGTGCTTATTCCTTGGAAGCCCCAAACCCAGCACAAGATGTATCTAGAGCCCACTGAAGCTCACCAGGGTTTTGCCGTGTGTTGCAAAACAGGGCTGATCCTGCAGAAACTTCCCCTGCTCCTGCCTGGTCACCCAGCATAGCTGTGTCTGTGGACAGGTTGCGCAAGGGATGCTCTTATCCCAGCAGAAATTTTGCACCCCCTGCTCATGTAACTCTGGTTCTGTCCTGTAAAACAGATTTTCCCTCCTCTGATGTTGTACCATATTAGATGTCTGAAAAGTGCATCTGGCCCTAAACATTTAACCAAATTCCCTTGTCTTTGTTGCTAGCAATCAAGCCATTCAGTACACTGAAAGAGGTGGTGTAACAATGACTAAGTTTTACAACATTTTGGTTTCAAGTCTTTTCATGTCTATCAGCAACAAAGGTATGCCAGGAAGAGAGGTAGATCCTGCTCAAAAGAAAGGTGACTTTCTTGCTCTATGCTGTCAGCTGTGAGCAGCAGAAAATATGCTCTGATCAAAACCTCAAAATGGAGCAAACAAGAAAAAGAAAGATATTCTATAACATGCACATACTGTAACTGTAAAAATACTACTGCATTGAAAGTGTAGGGCTGGCACTCCTAGAGGAAGAAATGGCATTTTTCACATGGTTATTGTATTCATTTTGAACATTCAATTTCTTTTTTAAATTAATATTTTTTTAGTTCAGTTATTCAACTAAAGAAGGGAGAAAATGTGGCTTTTGCCTTTAATTTCATTATTTAGTTACTTTTGCTGACGTAAAATTCTAAATTCTGTGTTGGTAAGAGTCAATTTCCCATGCCTGAATAAGAACTACCCTTTTTTAATAACTCAAAAACATCTGAAGTACTTGAAGTTCTGGAGTTAAGATTTTGTTCCACAGACACAGTGATTGAATTTCACATGCTGTACCACCAAGATCAGTTTGAAAAGCAGCTGTCAGTGCAGGTTTTGCATTGCTGGCATCTGTAAGAGTACATTTAAAGGTATATAGGAGAGGCATGGAGAATCAAAAGCTGAAATGATAAATCTAACAGGTTCATATTCTAGTTTTCTGAGTGCATAGTGACTGTATAGCAAATATGCTAAATTTCCTTATAGTGATTTTTTTTCTTCTTATTCTGTAGCTCCTGCTCAGTATGAGTGTGGAAAAGCCAAGTTCAGACCAAAGTTATGTGCTCAAAGAATTGTTGCTGGGTGTATTTCACATCCGCACTCCTGGCCCTGGCAAATCAGTCTCCGGACAAGGTATGGCCATTCCCCCATTACATTAAACTTTACATTTAAGGAACCTTTGTCTCTCACAGGATGTTACAGTATGTGGTTGCAGCATTCTAAGCTTGACTTTAATTTAAAAATAGCTCAAGGCTATGTACTATGTGTGCTAGTCTTAAAGAACATAATTTAGACAACCACCAATGCTCTGGTTTTCGATAAATACTTATAGAGTCAATACAATCACTAATTTCAAAAACACTTTCATTTAAATTCGTCACTATATCCTATGGTAGAATCAGTATCCTATGAGTAGAAGAAACAGTTTGAAGTATGGCTAGTACAGATCTTGATCGGTCCTTCCACGTTAAGTGTTTGATCTTACTGCCGAAGTTACTAGCAACTAGGAATCAATGCCAGTTTTGGAGCTTTCCGACTGTGATCAGAGCTAGATAAAAGCCAGAATCTCTAAACAGGTAAATATCACTGCACATAAAGTTTTCCGGTAATAGAAATACTGGTTAGAAACAAAGACCTAGGTGTTTTCATACAAGGCTTTGTAAAAATGTCCGCACAACAATACTGACATTGTGTAAAATATTGCTCAGGGAAAATAAAATGTTTGATTCTTAATGCAAATGCAGAATAAGATCTTTAGTTTGTAAAGACATACATGTTAGAAAGAATACTTGGTGAACTGCAGCAGAATTAACTTCCTGACCTGAAACCAATGTCGTTTTCATATTTTTCTTCTCTGTTACAGTTTTGGCCTACATTTCTGTGGGGGAACTCTGATAGATCCACAGTGGGTTCTTACTGCCGCTCACTGCCTAGACAAGTAAGTATCTGTTATAGCCTCCACCAACATTATTTTACACTAGATAGAAAATCCGAGGAGAAACAAAATGGGCCCAATAGCCAACCTGAGTTGTCTCTTGACTCAGCTTGCAAACAGTTGAGAATTGAGTCAAGCCTATTCATTATTCATTGAAGAATTTTGACTGAAGAAACAAAGAGTGACAGTGATAACTTTTGCCATTTGGATTTCACATGTCATAATAAGGCATTAAGAAATTAACTTTACACCAAAGCTGGGTTTATTTTTCTGGCTCTAACAGAAGAAGGTGCCCAGTAAGATCATAAGTGATCTATGTCGTGGGTATGTGTTCATCAGCTCACCATGTGCCATCATTTCCAACAGGTCCTCACGGCCATCTGCATATAAAGTATATCTCGGATTACACAAAGAAAGAGCATTAGAGGCGACAGTGCAAAAACGAGATGTTGAGAAATTGTTCAAGGAGCCACACAGAGCCGATGTTGCTTTGCTAAAACTGAGCAGGTACCCTTTCACCTGAAGCATTCCTTCGTCCTGATGGGACATGTTTGGTTGGTCTCTATTTTAACTAAATAGTGGTTGCTGGTGTTGCAGAAATGTGTGTTTCTATAAATGCCCTGTTCAATCAGCAATTTAAGACCCTCTCTTTCTTCCCCTTCTGCAGAAGCTCCTGTGGAAACCAAGGTGATTCAGCTGCAGGGCTTCAGAAAGGGAAAGTGCTACTTTGGGAGGGGAAGAGGGCTAGGGACAGTGACCCAGACTGTCAATGCACTGGGTGACAGCAGCTGGGAGGTGAGGCAGTGGCAGCAGAGTAGGAGGAGGTAATGCCTACAGGAGCTTTCATTCTGTGCTTCTGCATACATACTTCTACCCTGATAAAGCAATGAGGATTGAAAGCTGCAATATTAGAATGATGTTACCCTATACCTCCATGCTATGGTGGGGAGATTTATTCTTCCAGTGGGTTTGCCAAGTGTGCAGGTACTCAGTATGCATGTTTGATGCAGTATGTCCCTTCTTGCATCTGTTTCCATTCATCTGAAACTCATGGCAAGGCATTGTGCAGTCAAAAGGAATATGTCTGTACAACTGCAAGCAGATATGAACATACAGTGCTTGTGCTTTGATTTCTGTGACTGCAAGGCAGGTCCAAAACACATGCAGGGTCAGCACAATTAGTGTGGCTTCTTAATTGATCCTAGTCTTAGCTACACCGAAAGGCAAGTCAGACTGACTTGGGCTCTGACTGTATGTAAAACGTTATTAGAAATCTGAAGGTGATATTAAGGATAAATGTGCTAATTATTGTTCCTGTATGAGCTTTTTGTTTGTTTCTTTCAGCCCAGCAATCATCAATAATCATGTAATCCCAGTCTGTTTGCCAAAAGAAAATTCTGTGTTAGGAGGAAGAGAGGAGTGCTATGTCACAGGCTGGGGGGATACAAGAGGTGAGACAGCATTAACAGTTCTGAAAGATTTATGTTTGCAGATTGGTATGTACTTGTATCCAAAGTGTCTTTTCTCTGTGGCAAAACCACCCCGCACAAGCTTGCATGCATACCTACTTCATCAAAATTCATCAGGTACTGCCATTCTTTCCACTGTCCCTCTCTGATTTAGATTCTACCAGATCGCTCAGAGCCAGGTAAACTGAAACCTCCTAAACCAATACTAAAAGAGGAGAATCAGACTGAAAGAGCTACTAACTCATATCTGAGTCCACTCTGCTTCTCTCCAAAGTGGGCTTTTGCACAGTCAGTAAGATTTTTTTTTCTAGATTTAGACTATTTCTTAATCACATGAAGGTGAGTTTGCTCATTCTTTTGAATCATTTTACTCCCAACTAGCCTGTTTTGGCTCTCACTCAAATACAAACATACTCTAATTTTTAAAACCTCTCACTCTGTCTTCGCTGAGAAGAGCATCAGTACCTTCTCTGCTGCCTTGCTTCTAGCAATCATACCATTCTCAACTCTCTGTTTACTTCACACCTCCCTTCTTCCACAGAGAAGAGAACTCAGATAGAGAGAAATAAAATGGCTGGGAAATGACTCCCACAGATATCAGTGGTTCTGGATACATATGGATGTGCAGTGGGAGCAAGAGAGCCAATCAGCACAGTGTGGATTTTGATGGGTGGCAGAAAGTGACAAGTACCATTATACTAATAATGCTCACTGATTTTGGTATCACTTCATACTATGCATGGAAAGTATATGCATAGTGCATATACATTACACATATTTTACTGCTTATCCATACCTCTATGTTTGTTTTGTGAAGATGCTAATTTACCTTTATAATTTATTGTGTTTTGGTTTTGTTTTTAAGGAACTGGTGGTGATGGCTACTTAAAGGAAACTGGTTTCCCTGTAATTGAGAATAAAATATGCAACCGCCCTGAATTTTTGAATGGTAGAGTTAAAAAGCATGAGCTCTGTGCTGGGAATATTCATGGTGGCACAGATAGCTGCCAGGTAAGAAGGTCTGGGAGCATCAGAGTTGGTTGTAAGTACATTCAAACCAAATAGTGCTTTGCTTTTTGGACTTTAGACGCTCAAAATTAGCCTTAGGATGTTGCCACACCATGTGGCATACAAGCTGAAAAATGCACATGGATTTTGCTTTTCCCTTGCACCCTTGTCTGCTGCTAGGAAGTGGGGCAGGTGAATTTTCACATAGACCTGAACTACAGAGCACATGGTAAAGCACAAGGCTGCCTGAGCCAGCTGTATGGAAGCCAGCTTAGCGTGACTAATGATCTGATTTTTTTTCCACTTTGCTTGCTGCAGCTGGGCTAGCTCTGATGTCCAAGCTAGCTAACAGCTTGAGATGTCTCAGTTAGCAGTCAAGGAACAATGCAGTGGAGTCTGCCATGCAGGCATATCAAGGGCCAAAGGAACTACTAATTTCCAAGTGTCAATGCCAGTGCCTATGAAAATCAGGTCAGGCAAAATATGTGCTGGGTTTTCCTTTTGCTGAAAAGGAAGGAGTATGGGTTGCAATACCTCATCTTACAAGTGTGGTATGGAGGCTTTCTCCAGAGGTCTAGGTTTTGAAATTGAGTTCTTTAGTTTCTTCATTTAAAGAAAATGGAAGGGCTTAGAAAAGGGCTTAGAAAAGCTTAATATTCTGAATCAAGATGGAAACCTTCTTCCCTAAAAACCTAGAGATGACTCTGTAAAGAAGTGTGAAAACTGCAGACTGCCTAACCCAGCCAGCAGGTCAACGCCGTTGCCAACACAGCACAGCTACCCTATGCACAAGCACCGTGATGGGGAAGCAGGCCATTGAGGAGTGTGGAGTCATGTCTTAAGACATATGGCTCAAATGCATGCATTCACTTGGCCCTGGATCATCTAGTAACAACAGGAAGCCGTAAAGACCTCAAAGAAGAGACGGAGGGAGGTAGCACAGTTTAAGTTATTAAGGGCAATCAGATTTCTTGTTCCCAAATCCTCTAACTTAAAAAATAAATGAAATACTTGGATGAGCAGGAGAGATGACTTTACAATAGTGTTCAACAACATGAGTAAAGAACTCTCCTCTGGCTCCAGTGTTTTCTTATTAAATGTACGGACCCCACAGGCGAGAGGTACTTCTCTTTCTGTGCCTACTGAGAGAAGACCACTTTTGCTGTCTGTGAAGGAATCATCCTGTTCTTTCTCTGTTTAGGGGGACAGTGGAGGACCTCTAGTTTGTCTGGACCAAGATAAATTTGTCCAACATGGAGTCACCTCCTGGGGCCTTGGCTGCGCCCAACCCATGAAACCTGGTGTTTACGTTCGAGTTTCCAATTACATTCCTTGGATTAAGAGTATAATGGAAAACAACTGATCCTGGGTTTGGACTGCCCTCTCCTGGAAAGCAGAATGCACATTAGAAATACAAGATTCCAAGTGCAATATTAAAGCTACAATCAAAGTAAAATAAATATGATCATCTATTTTAAATCACTATAAATTAACAGTTATTACCAAGAAATGTAACTGACGTTGTGTTACCCTCTTTCTATATGTTCTGTGGTTTGCTATGTTTGACAACAGACTTACCCACCTCCGAAATACTTGTCAAAAATCCCAACCTCAACTGTAACTGTACATCTGCATTTCAATCTTCTATTAGGCTCTACAATGACTTTTTCTTCTAAAGTTGAGTTTCCCAAGATGTTATGCTTCCAACAGATGAAGAAAGGAGAATACTTCTCATTTTCTCTGAGTTTTCTGAGCCTCTTACCAATTTAGTGATAGAAACCAAAGAAGAATCTCACTGTACATGTCTTATATGCATGTGAAGTTTTTATTAGAAATATCTGATAGTATTAAATACATGGGATGGGAAAAAAAGAAGCAAACACATTTGGTTTGTATTTTCATATTTTTTATTGACATGAATATTTGAGTGTCAGCGAAGTACAAATGTTGCATCAAAGATATAAAACAGTGAATAAAATATAGCTTCAACCTAAAATCAGTCCATAGCATGGACAGAGAAATAACTATCAATCATTACAGCAAGTAATGACAATGCATTCAATGTATTATAAAGTTTTGTTGTCTGTAGTACCCATCTGTTCCACTATAGAATTTTATCTCTCTATATAACCATTGCATGTACATTTTTCTCGTCTAAAAGAAAATTATGTACACATGCCTGTGGTTATAGGAAGTGAAAGCTCAGACTTTTAGAAATGCTTTCTAGGAAAAGCTTGGCTCGAATGCCAAATTTGAACGCTAGCTGTGAATAACCGCTGTCATCCTGTTCTTTTTTTTCTCCCATAGATTTGAAGGGAGATGAGAGCTATAAAACAGTTAGGTGGCAGAGTAATTTTTAAGGTTTCTATACCTGGAGCCTGATTCTGGGAGAAGCAATGATCTGAGGGCATTGCCTTCCTGAGCAGGAACAGCTCTGACAAAGCATTCCCCACTCACCTCTTTGGTCAGGAGGGATTAACTGGATACTAATACCCCTCTGCATGTTTCCTGTATCTGTTAATTTGGATCATTAAGTCAGCCAAGAAATCTGCACAGCACTTCCCCAGCAAAAGAAATTCTGTGTTTCAGCTTGGTCTTCTATTTGTAAATCTCTTCAAACATAAACTTTTGTAGACGTGGTTAATACTTGGCTTGTAGGCAGACAAACCCACCTCTGCTGTCCTCGTCAAACCCACCAGAAATGCCTTGACATGTCTGAGTGGCTACAGAGGTCCCACCTCATAACCTCTTAAAGCATGTAAATTGTGATCACTAACTTATCACTGAAGTATAATACACGCGAGACAACTAAAGCTGGCAGTGTTTGGCCCCTCCTGACAAAGTGCCTTTCACTGAGGTGGGCCATAACAGCCCTTTTAGTGTTAACCCATGCAGTTTAGGAGAACACTGCTTTGTTGCCTGAGAAGTTTCTAGGACTTTCCAGTAAGGCTCAAAGTATTAAGTGGTTTGAGGCACGTGTGAATTTATAATACCTCTTTTTAAACAAGCAATCTGTCCAGTGACCTGCACAACCCTGGCTGGTTTCCTCCAGGGTCTTTCCTTACTGAAGCTCTCCCTGTGCTTCTGACGCCTCATCTGTCCTCTCTCACCCACAGCAGTGTAACCCCACAGTCACCAAACTGCTGGTCATACAACAGGCTACTGCCCACTTCACAGCAACCCAAAGTCTTATGCAAACAGGAGGATTTTCTCACTTAAAATATCCCTCAGTAAGGGGTAAGAGCTAGCACAGGAGCCATTACCAAATACACACTCTAGCTGAAGCTGTTAAGCACTAACATATTAGAAGTCAGAACACATACATAGCCTTTTTCCTGATGTCCTTTACGTAATGAACTTTTATAAAATAAATACATCCAAACTTCTGACGCTGCTCCTAGACATATACTGAAATATTTCACTTATATTCTCTTCTGAGCAACATATGGTGCTATGCAAAACAAAAAACAGTCTGAAAGGCCAGAAACAAGTCTTTGTGTCTCTCACTTCCCAGCACATTTTAGTTGTCCACAAACAGTAGCAGCTGGTAAATAATATTGACATTTCTTTGCCAAGCTGTAGCTGCCATCCAGCCCCAGAGAGTTTACTGCTATCTGCAGAAGACTGCATTGGTGTAGGAGGAGTTTCCTCTTTGCAGTAGTAGCTCCAGTCTTGAGTTGTCTTCTAGATACTGCCAATTAGCCAGATGTATTATGAGATGCTCATTTAGTTTCATACATTTCAATTGCTACTGACTTTTGCTAAGCATCCTGTTGACCTTTAACTGTGTCTCAGAGGAAGTTGGAAACAGCCTTGAAAGACAGCCTTTTATTGCTAGCTGCTCGAAGTATGCAAACATTAGACTGAGATTACCAGTAAAGGTTCTGTTTTCCTACAGCAGAACTGGTGGTATGGGCAGTTGCTGGGAAAGGGCAGGGAGAGTTGGGAACTGTTGAAATGCACAGTATGCTCGTCACCATAAGAAATCCCCCTGTGCAGGCACTTGCTTATATGCACTCTTAAGATGGTGAAACTGGAGCAGTAGTCATTTAGCTGCACTGACTGTAATGTTAGCACTACTTATTTGTGGTATGAACCTTCAAAACTCAGTCCTATATTTGCGTATGCCAAATATGTTATTTTAAGGCTTATAAGGCAATCACAAGACCTCATTTGCTTTATTTTGTATATTTAATTCTCTGTTGGTAACAGGAGACCTTTTGAACACCACATCTTCTCAAGCCCTTTACTGTAAGGAGTGTATTGGTTACCTGTCAGTGGCCAGAACCCAGTGTTTGATGAAGAAGGTTGTACAGCTAAAAGGGAAGGCAGGCTGCCCCTGCTACCTGCTTGCGAAGTCACAGATTCAAGCTACTCTGCCACATGTCAGCTTGAAACAACCAGGAGGAGTTAACACTTTGCTCCATAACCAAGGCTCTTGTCTCATCCCTGCTCATCTTCCCAAGGCAGCTTAACATCCCTGTGAACAACCCAAATAATTTATCCTCAAGACAGAGAGATGACAAATAATAATAATGGACAGAAGGTTGAAATTGGGAGTCACTTTTAGAGTGGTCAGGGAAAGGGAATTTTATTTGTAAAGATGAAGAGAGAGCACGTTTCAGAAGGGAAAAGATCAGCTTTTGAAAGACGGGGTTGGAAAAGCACCTGACAGGGGAGAGCAAACAAAAGCCCTTTCCTCAGGAGACAGAGGGGTCTCTAGCCAGGTGACAGGACAATGGGGTGGCACACGAACCCCAGCTGGGTCTGGGGAGAGACACCAATGGGCAAGAGGACATTCTGACCTGCAGAGCTAATGCCCTCTGTGGGATGTGACAACTACATAAAGCCTTGGGAAGGAGAGGAGGAGGACACATTTCACAAAGCCCATAGACAGAAGGGAAACAGAGCTTTTGTGGCAGAGGCTCGCTGGGGGACAGGAGCAGACCAGGGCATAGGTATCCTGATGCATGCCTCTGATTCTCATCGCTCCCGACCAGAGAAAGGACTGTCCCTCATTCCCCAGCCATCAGATCTTCTGTTTGTCTAGATTCTCCAGGGGCAAAGGAGAATGGGTTGAAATACTCATCCTCTCTTCACCAAAGCCATCCAAATCTTAAGCAAACAGCACCATTTCCAACCCTCCACACCCAAAGATAAATGCTAACAACAGAAATAAACATAAGGCCCAAATATACAAAGAAATAAATAAGAGCTCACTGAGCTGAATAATGCATCTTTTTTAAGCTGTTCTGTTATCTACCAAGAACCAAAGACTGCTCCCTTCCTGCAAACAACATACTCACAAAAAAATGAATTTATTCCATATTTATAGAAAAATACACTGCTTGTTTTAAATGTCTGTATGAAGAACATGGAGTTTAATCCATACTCTGCAGCAAATTTTGAAGTAGTGGCAGGTGAAGAACAAATTCCCAGTATGGAAACAGGGGTCTTTGCTCAGTGCTGTCCTTCAAAGGTCAAATATAAGAGTTGGTGTCCTGATGTTTCCATTTCTTGCCACGTTTACCAAAATGACTGAAGAAACAGAAGGGGAAAGGGGTATAAGGGTGAAAGAAATATGAAAATATGTAGTTAAAGTTGTAGTCCAAGCTACAGTACTGAAACATTTGCTGTCTGCATAGAAAAATTCCTCTTTCTTTAGTTTGTACTTTCAAAACTTGTTGATGTAATATCCAAAGCCACTGTTTGAAACACTAATGTAGAGCACTAGGTCCTCAAGAAATTTACTGCCAAGCAAGCCAAGGTGTAAATGTTCCCTGCATGCTGTCAATGCAGTGAAGAGCCTGGCTTACTGTGTGCTAGGAGTGGGAAAGCTGCACCTATAACTCTTCAGCTATAAATTCATCTTGTACGTGACTTTTCAATGACTTCACAAACTGTGGAAATGTTCCCATGATCAAGGGCCCTTTCTCACAGGATGCTTTGATTGAGGTAATGGCTGGCTTCTCGAGCAGAGAGTTGCAGGTTATACTTTGCAGTATGTCTCCTGCACACTATTACTTTCTGCTTTCAGAGGTGCTCAAGACAACTTTGTGTCTCTATGATAAAAGTACAGATTCTATCTCCATGCTTTTTTTTTAACAACCCACCTTAGTGGTATTGAAAAGTTCACTTTTCTATTGAGGAAAACACCACCTGCTCATAACATCAACCCAACTAGAGAATTTACTTTGACACTTGAAAAACATCAATAATTTATGACAGCTGACAAGGTTGGAGGAGAAGACCCTCAGAAAACCTCATCCAAGTAAATGTAAGAAAACACATATCATACCTTGAAAGCTTCTCTACATCCTCCACTGTCTCTGGTAAGGAGATTCCTTTTGTCTCTGGTAAAAGCAATACTAGGAGTCCACAGACAACTGCGAGAATACCTACAATGGGCATTGAAGACATACAAAAGCAATAAGAAAATTTTTACTTTTCTAATTTTCAGGGTTTATCCA